TGGGTTTTGCCACCCGCCAGATTGCAAATGTCACCAAACCCACAACTATATTCTGTTTAGAAGGGGATACTATTGTGCTGCAGACCCAGAGCGCTTTCAAGAACACTGAAGTCAAATTTAAACTCAATGAGGAGTTTGATGAAACTACAGCAGATGACAGAAAAGTGAAGGTGAGATATATTCATGCTTTTCATTTTTTCTGTGTGATGAGCAACTGATTAGAATATGTGTTGGAACCTGGCCTTGGGGCGGCAGGTGGAGTAAATCCGGCCCTGCTTGCAGTGCAGGGGTTATGGGTGTCATTCCCATCGAGTACCTCATCCGCTTGGAGTTTGTATGTTCTGTCTTTGTTTGCAGTGCACAATATGCTGGTCATTTAAAGGGAATTAATTCTTATATTTTTTAAATCATTTAAAAAGGTGAAGGATTGTGATTACCTTAACGTCAATCATGTTATCAATTCTAGTTGCATTAAAACACCACAAACACAGAAGGCATTTTAATAAATACCTTGCTTAGGTGTTTAGTATAGGTTGACAATTTGGGGTGGGGGAGCAATTGCTTTAATACTGTATTTGTAAAGTTTGTATATGACAATTACATGAACAGAGGCACAATTGCATCTCCAGGCTGCAGTGGCATATGCAGACTAAAGAGATTTGCCATTTAGTTGAAACTGCTCAGAGCTTTGCACTACCCCTCCACTATCCAGAGTTCCTTAGATGGTTGGTGGGGATTAGAGCATTGCTCTGAAGTCAAACATGTCAAGGCCATAGTTACAGCTAGTTCCCTGAAGAAGAGAGCTCCCTTTTCACATGAAACATGATTACTAATAAAGGTACCTAGATGTTCCCACTGATGCAGCTATGGTTTTTAGTAAATTAACAAAAGAGTGACCTTTTGCTTGGCCCTAGCTTGTGTGTGTGTAGGACTTTTATAGGGGCATAGACTGTAAGCGCTTTCAGGAGCAGGGACAGATGTGAATGGTCCTGTGTTCTCTGTACAGCACTGCAAAATGTGCTAGCACTGTATAAATCAATGACTGAATAATAAAATGAATAGTTGCTTAAACAAGTAAAGTGATTTTAGCCTCATGAATATGAGCCAGTCACTCACATTTACTCAGGATTCTAGGCCAACGTTAAAAGTTATGTTTGCGGAGCTTCTTCAGGTAAAGGGCAGGTAGTAGGTTCAAATCTCTTGTTTTATAAATTGCTTTTTGTTCTCCTTTTTTATATAGGACGAACATCAGATCTCGTCAACTTACATTCACATGCCCGCTAATATGAACTTGCATATCTATGTGTGTTGGACGTGGGGGATTATCTTTTGGCTGACTTTCATTTGTTTATAGCCAGCTTTAAAGGAGAACTATGGGGTTAGGGCTTTTCCACATAGTTCTCATTAGGGTAACGGGAGGACACAAACTAGCATCCTCCCGTCACCCTAGGCTCAGTATACTGCGAGCTACAGCTCGCGGTATACTGAGACGCTGCAGTATACCGCGAGCTGCTGCTCGCGGTATACTGAGACTCCGCAGCTGAAGCGAATCCCGACAATTGTGCCGGGATCCGCCCAGCTGCGTGACTGACAGCTGGCTCTGCCTCCGCCTAGAGCCAGCTGTACCCGCCCCCTCCCTCGTCCGTTCCGCCAGTCAGCGCTGGCGGATCGGAGTGGGGAGGGAGGAATCCAGCCCCTCCCTTGTCACCGCAGAGAGCCGTGACAGGATCGAGAGGTGAGCGAACGCCGGTATATGTTCGCTCACCTCCCGATCTACTGAGCCGACCTGTGACAGTCTCATTGTCACAGGTCGGCTAGAACTATGAGGTGAGTGAAAAGCACTCACCTCATAGTTCTCCTTTAAGCTATGATCACAGAAGGACTACTTAGTGTGCATAACATGCTCAAGATACGTTTTTACAGTTTGTAAATGGAGGATATTTAGGTCATCTGTATTACAGTTTTAAATGTATAAGGGGGAAGCCTGATCTACAAAAGAGAGGAGTTACCTTTTCCACAGCAGCTTGTAATGTCACCTATTCGTAGTTTTATACTAGGGTTCAAGATCTTTAGAGGTCCAGTGTTCTAGTCTGTTTAGAAAGAAATAAAAGTATTCCCTATATTAAGACAATCTAAATTTTGCATATGTTATTAGACGTTCACCACTTTGTCTTTCCTGTTTACGATAGTACACAGTGGTTTATTTTTTATGTTTGTTTATATTCTTTGAATTAATTTCCAAAAAATTTGAATTATCAAAGCAAAAGTAGCAGAACAATGTTATTTATGGTTTTTAGACATATTTTAGGCAACATTGCTTTGCCAAATGACGATGTTCGCCAGATGATCTGTCTCAGTACCTCTACTGTGGCCCTACCTGATATATGATTGTGCACATTTTAAAAGCACAATCCTATATACTGTGTCTGTCTGTCTCTGTCTGTCTGTCTATCTATCGAGTTCTAATATTTGGCAATACAGCTGAACTTTTCGGCTGGAAGCCGATATTATTAATGCTGTTCTGTATTCATTCATATTTTTTTTTTTTTAAAGCAATGTACCTACATTTAACTTGGTATCTGCCTCTTGCAGCCTCTGTACAGCAGTGCTCAGACTGGGAGCAAGAGAAGCAGCGTGAAAAGCCAGTTAGCCATGATACAGTGCTCATGTGCTGACCAGGAATATGCCCCGAGGAGGAGAGAGTGACAAAGACATGGTTTTATCAGTCTGCTAACTGTGCAGGTGATAAGTGTAAATAAGAACAGGAAGCAACATTAATTCTCCCTAAAGGAGGCACAGAAAGTATTTACAACCTGACAGAGTTTCAGCTCTCCCCAACTCAATACGAAACTGAAAATGTTTTGGCTAGAGTTGGACATATATTTAAAGGGAGAACTATGAGGTGAGTGCTTTTCACTCACCTCATAGTTCTAGCCGACCTGTGACAATGAGACTGTCACAGGTCGGCTCAGTAGATCAGGAGGTGAGCGAACACGTACCGGGTTCGCTCGCGCTCTCTGCCGTGACGGGGAGGGGCTGGATTCCCCTCTCCGATCTGCCAGCGCTGACTGGCGGAACGGACGTGGGAGGGGCGGGTACAGCTGGCTCTGCCCCTAGCTAGGCGGAG